CACACTTCCTGTTCCTATTAATTGATGAAAAGAGAATGGAACTGTCCCTAGGGAAGTGCTTGGTTCAGACTTTCCCACCCTGCAAATAAAACTGCTTGCCTGGTTCTAATCCATAGCTTTGTTATTCTCGGACCAGAGACCAGAAGCTTCCACTCAGCCAACGATGATCAATGAATCCCTATTATGTGTCAGACATGATACAAGGTATGAGGGATACAAAGATGAATAATGCAGATCAATATGGAAAGTGCTACGCTAAGAATAGTAAATAGTGCCTTAAAAAGTACACCTAGCTATGTTTGGAGGAGAGGGAGAGGGAGGAAAGCTGAGAAAGCAATGCTAAAATTGAATCTTAAAAGATGGACAGGAGGAATTTAGCAGACGGCAAGGCAGGGGAGAACATGCCAGGCATGTAGCAAATGATCAGATATATCAGTAACTATCCAGGGGCACAGCCTTGTGAAAAAGAATTAAGGAATACAAGACAGGACAAAGAGTGGAGGGAATAAACCTTAATCAAAGGTCATAGGCGTGCCAAGGATGGAGATGACATTTTTCCTGGAGGGCTCAGAGGAAGATTCAAAAAGGAAATGGTATTTGTACTGGCAAGTAGAGGATGGAGATCAAGTCACTCTCGTTGAGAAAACTGTGCAAAAAGCAGACGATCATGCAAGTGCATGGCCACTTTCTCTCCTCTAGTTACATTCTTGCCCTAGAGATCTCACCTAGTCCTGTGGCATCAAATCCCATTTTAAGTGGATGTATTCTTTATTTAGGTTTGAATCCAGCTCTAAGTTCTCCTTTGAGCCACTCATCTGTACCTCCAGATGTTTATATGGAATCTCCACTTAAAGGTCTTACAGTTACGTCTAGGGTTTAATGTTCAATACTGAGCACTTCATTGTCTTTCTTTTCCAAACCTGTCATTCTTTCAATCTTCCATCTCAGTTATTGGTACCATCATCCAATCAGTTGCTCTAGCAAGAACCTAGGATTCACCCTTGATTTCCCTTTTCCTTCAGTTTCCATATCCAATCCGTCAATGAGCACTCTGACGCCACTTAAAATCACATCTCATATCTGCACACTTCATTTCCTGAGTCCAAATGATCATTTTTTGCCCTATTCTTCCATCTGATCTCCTTGTTTCTCCTTTGTTCCTCTGCTATCCATTCTTCACCCAATGGCCAGAGCTATCTTTTTAAAAAATGTAAGCCAGATCATGTCATGCCTTGCTTTAAACTTTTCCTTGTTTCTACAACTAAATCCTTGCCTAGTCACCTGGCCCCCGTCTAGTTTGCCAACCTCACCTCTAGTTTTAACTCACACCACCTGCTCCAGCTGCACTGGCTTCTACCCAGTTCTGAACATGTACAAGTTCTTTCCCACTCAATGCTATTGCACCTAAAACTCCCACTTCCTCAGTGGGAAGATCTCCCATCTTCTCTTCCCATGGTTGTCTCATTTGTCTTTCAAGATTTGATCCAAATGTCATTTTAAAAATATGCCTTCTAATACTTCTACCCACATTTTTCTAAATTATCATCATACTTATTTCCTTCTTAGAACTTAACTTGTAATATCCTATTCACCCATTTGTTATTATTGCTCTCTCTTTCTAGAAAGTCCCACCTCAATGGGGCAGCAGCCTTATTTCTCTTTAAGCGTTGTATGCCAAGTACACAGTACAGTATCTGGCTTAAAGCGTGTGCTCAATAAATATTTGTCAAAGAAATGAATGCCAAAGTCAATAATGTCTTAAGACTTTAGATAAGGGTTGATAGAATCAAATACACAGAGACATTATGTAAAATAAGGATTGAAAAGGGACATTTGGTTTGATCATTCGGAAGTCACTGGTGAAAGTATAGTAGTACATTTGGAGTGAAAGGCAGAGGTACAAGTGCCATGGGTGAGAAATAAAATAGGAGGTGTCAAATTGGAGGACAGCAAGCATTTTAAGGTGCCTGACTGAAAAAGGAACAATGAAGGTTGTGCTACTACACTCTTGGGGGTATAGAGAAAGTTCTTTTTAGATTTTTGTTAATGGGTGAGATTTGTGTGTATTTCCATATGAGGAAAAGGAAGCAGGAAAGACCAGAAGCTGAAGGTACAGGGGAGAGAGGAGTAGATGATGGAGTGAAGTTATGGAGAAGAAGGAACTGAGTTGGGGAATAGGATCGGAGCCCAGGTGAGGAATAAATCTTGGATAGAAGAAAGGACACGTCTTCCTCTGAGGAGCAGGACATCTTTTAGAGTCTTCATTTCTTCTGATAAAAGTGAAGAAGTACAGGTCGGTATGGAGCTTAACATAGTGAACAAGCTTTGGAATACCACCCAGAGACGTTAAGAGGCATTGACCAGGAATTCATAAAAGGAGTGCTGATTGTCAATGAAGAATCAGCGGAAACCATAAGTTTGGTACCAGTTTCTCCAGTTGTGTAATTTATTCATTAATCAAATGTTTGTTAGGTATGTACTATGTTCTAGATAATTGCATTGCTATTGGTAGTGCTTCAGTAAAGAAAACACAGTTTCTTCTGTATAGTGGTGGAGAGAAACAAGTATACTAATTAACAAAACCTTGTGATGTGCTATACTAGAGGCATAAAATTATATGACCAGAACAAGGAGGAGGAGGAGGAAGGAGAGGGGTAGTTTCTAGTCATAAAATTGATGGCTATCATGAAAGATTTCAGAACTGGAACTGCCCTTGATGATAACAGAATCTTAGAGGAGGAAGTGGCTTACTGGAATGGAGGAAGTCATGGAACTGTACAATTTGCAGGTTGGCGGGGCATTCAGACAGATGCTGAAGTTGCCCAGGAAGGTGGAAGGGGTTATTTTGGACAACTCCTGTGTGACTCACGTATCTGAACTCTTGATGAATATTTGAGAGTGATCTGGAAACCCACATATGCCAGTGATAAGGATAGGTAGAGGGTGACATAGCCAGGTAGTATAAACACCCAAGGAAGAAGTCATTGTACACGAGAGTGGTGTCATCGTGGTCTGAAAGGAGTAGCTAACAAAGAGGAAAATGCCCAAACCATTTCTCAACCTCTTGGCACGTGGGGCATTGGGAGATGAGTATTTTTCCTCACTCAAGAGAATTTCAGTCAAAACCATGGAATAGTGTTCTGAAGGTTGAAGGTGTAAAGGATTTCATGTATGATGACCCAGAGGCTTCAGAGACTCCAGTAGGAAGTGTTGGGAAGGAGTAAATGATGGAGAGAGAGAGAGAGAGAGAGAGAGAGAGAGAGAGAGAGAGA